AGATGGTCCCGAGATTTCGTAGAAATTGTTAAAATTAAAAAATTATTTTTTGTGCCCAAAATCATCACATTATTAGGCTATTCAGTAAAACAAACCGCTTTTGAAAATATTAAGCCATTCCAGAGATATTTAAATTATAGCCAGAAACAACCGGTTGTGTATGGTTGATAATTTTACCTGGTTCGTTTTAACGTAATTAACTATCTAGAATATCTTAGTACTGGAATCCTTAAGTTATTTGAGCCAGGTTCCCGGTAACTGCATGTTTGATAAAACTTCATAACCGTTCTTAACAATTTACAATAGGATTTCACCTTGACAATTAATGTGCACATAATACATACATTATAATATAATAATTGATATTTAAAAGATTTGTTAGATTTATTATATTGAGATCCCCTCGGTGAGTACATGATTACATTTGATAAAATTATTATTTCCACACTACAACATAGGCCACGTACCATTATTAATAGATAATCAATTTATACAGTAGTGTACAATATTAATACATTTGATTTGCCACAACTTGCTACTTAAATGTTTAATGAAATCAATTTATAAAATAATTTTTAAGAATTGTTCAAATGATTTCATGCATATTTACAATTTCAAGCGAGATATATTTATTTTTATTAATTTTAATCTATTGTTAATTGTTTGTTTATGTATTTACTTAACAAAATTATTTTATCTAATATTTAAATACAATATTTTGAAACTATTTTTAATTAAATGCCTTCTCACAGCAAATATTGAGTAATATATAAAATGATGGCAATTATTAAAACGTTATTAAAATATAAGTTAAATTTTATTTGAATACAATTATTACAAATGTTCACCAAATATACGACTGAAGAGAATGAGCGGGGATTTTATGGGAGACCTTACGACTGGAGTCTTGGATAGTGAGCACAATATCGTCGGCGCGTGTATTGAGTGCCACCAAAACCGTCTGATTGTCGGGTCTCTGGACTGTGAGGACCGTAAAACTCGACACAGATTTGTCGACTGTGTGTCCGATTCGTACCGATTCCGGGGGAATAAATTTGCTGAAGTGTCCGATCGCGTAAAACGAGGGTTGTTTGTAGGCCTCCCCCTTAGTCGGGTCTATGTTGATGGCACCCCCGTATCCCTTCTGTTCGTTCCACCTTGGTCCACCACTCATGTCCAGCGCCATATTCCACTCCAGCCAACCCCTCACGTACTCATTCAGAGCCTATAAACATACACAACAATTATCGACATGATTTAGAGTCCAGAATATTCTGTACAATAAATAAAAGTATTCAAAGCCTACATAAATTATATATAACTAATCACATAGATCATCTAATTATTTAGATTGAATCAAGCAGACACACACATATATATACCCTAATGATATCGGAGGCATAGTTTTCACCGGCACTCCACACCCCTAAATCGGGTCCCTCGAGATGACAGGCCTCAGTGTTTAATAGAAACATATCGGTGTAGTTCTCCTGTATTTCCGTTGGGAATCCGTCCGGATATCCACCGTAATGGTGATATGCGATGCCCGACACGTATTTCGCTGCCTCCCTGTCCTCCAGTACCGTCGGTAAGTACTTCTCGAAAACGCTGAGATTGTCGTCGAATACCATTAGATTGAGTTTGTCTTTGCCATACCCGGCCTTCGCGAGGGTCGGACCCAAATTGAGTTTCACGAAATCCCGTTCCATAGGGCCGGTTAGGTTCAGGCAGTTGAAGCCCTTGCCTGGGCCCCCTTGTGTTGGCTCATTCTCGACTGTAAGCCCCCATAGGTTTATGTCATGCGATTTGTATGCGTCTAGAAATCTGTGGTAAACTCAAGGGATAAGTGTTTTGATGTGTTTAATGCATAATATATTATATGAAATGCAAATTACTTCACGAAATAGTTGGCCCACGACTGGTAGTACTCGCCGCCGACAGTTCCCCTCAATTCCCCCCCATGATTGAACATGTTGTTAGTCTTCATCCAAGAGGGGGGACTCCAGGGGCTGCCGAAGAATTTTATTTTATGCGGACTTACTTTCAGCGCTCTTTGAATGTATGGGATCTACGGATCAGTTATTACTTAATTATTAGTTTTCAATACAAAGTTAAAAAAATCTAATAGGTTTTGCATACTTTCCACTCCAAGTCCTCCATCTGAAGAGCAAAGTGTTTGAGCTCCAGATCCCCGTCCACGTCATCGTAAGAGTAGGGTCTGTACGAGAAGTCTGTGCCGGCCATCGGTATTCTGGCCATTGAGTACTCGATGCCATTGTCCGAGAAGTAGCTATCAATCAGCAGATCCGCCAACGATTGGTTGACTGTCTTCAGCATCTGTCCCGTTGTGTCAGTGAAAGCGCCGCCAAATCCAAAGATTGTCTGATATTTCTGTGTCTTATCTATAGTTACGACAACCGTTTGGTCGGCCGTTGAGTCGATGGTTGAGCCGAACTGGAGTTCCGTTTCCTTAAACCTTTCTCCGGCTTTATTGCTCTCATAAACCGTAAGGAAACCAGTCTTTGGGCGCTTGAGGGCCGGGAAGTCATCACAATATGTTGAGTTACAGACACAGACTGTGTCCGCGTCCTTAACTTTTCTTACGATACATTCCCGTCGGGCGCCGACTGTTTGTATTTAAAATAAATGATATATACTCTCAAAATAAAATTGCAATTAAAATGATAATAATTTTCTCAGAAATACCGTTTATAGCGAAAAAGGTTATAACGAGTAAAACACTAAATATTTTATACATATTTGTTATATATAATACTTAACCTACATAAACGGTATATAAACAAAACACTTTACTATTTATATGATTTGGTTTTATCGATAACTATATTTCAAACACAATTCTGTGAAATATTTTTCAAATCAACTCTTAATGCTATTGTTAAATGTGTTGATATGCCTTATCGATTATAAGCATTATAAAGTAATGTTCAGGTTCTCTGTGATTGTAACTGTATTTGAACCAGGTTCCCGGTAACTACATGTTTGATAAAACTTTATAATCGTTTTAACGTTCTTAACAATTTAGAATAGGATTTCACTTAAACCTTGACAATTAATGTCACATAATAAATACATTATAATATAATATCTTATATTTAAAATATTTGTTAAATTTATTATATTGAGATCCCCTCGGTGAGTACATGATTACATTTGATAAAATTATTCTTTCCACACTACATGTGGTTGTCTATGATTGCTCATTTTACCAGGTTCGTTTTAACGTAATTAACGTACTATATCTAGAAAAGTACTTTAATCAAACCTTGACAATTAAACAGCACTGAATAAATACATTATAATATACCGGCAACTATTTATAACCTATTTAAAATATTTGAAAAGTACATTTGTACATTAGTACATTTGTCAGATTTATTATCTCACCACTAAAACACAGACCATGTTCAATTCTTTATAGATAAAATACTGTATTATAGAATATTAATATATTTAATTGGACACAACTTGCTACTTAAATGCTCAATGTTATCAATTTATATAATATATTTGAAAATTATAATTTTGAAAATATAAAATATATTTAAATTTATGTTTACACAATATTATACTGTAATGTATTCATTAATCATTATTCATGATACATTATGAAAGCTTATTTTGATATATTTTATTATTAGATATTTAATTATAATTTATAAAATATTTAATAATTAATTATGAATATTACTAGTAAACATTATTTATTCAAACATTACAAAAATGATTTGTACAATACTGGGGATAAACTATTTTATAATTGTTAATATATACTATAAGTACATTTCATAACTTATCAAGTGAATAGTTATACAATTTAATTCCCATATTTATTAGATACCAATAAACATACAATAAAATTACAACATATTTAAAATAAGTATATAGTTTATCATAACTCCCGACACATAGAGATAAAACTCGTAATTATTCATTGGAAACAAATCCAAACAATACAAACCAATATCAGGTCCACACAAGTGCTCAATGAATGCCATAATTTTCAACCGCCTATTTACAGGCATTTTATTGTATATAATAAACTGGTACAACATTTTCCGAGATTTATGAGCATTAGTACTGACCCAGGTACACATCAAGTTCAGTAAAAATACGACACCAAATACCACCGTAAATATGAATGCTGTGGCGAACCGGGCATAGAAAGTGGTGTCCTTTGCGAACGTTAAATACAATAGTATTTCAATGGCAGGGGTTCCGAAATAGTAGACCACAAACATTATGTACTTAAAGAACTCATTGAATTCACGAGTCATTCGCTCCATTAGATTGTGTGTATGTATGGCTTGCATAAGATGTTGACTATTGTTATATCGTAAACACCACTTAATTTTATCGTTAATTTCTTGAAATTTATATTTCAAATACTTGGTGATCATAAACCAGAGTACGAGTGCCACGCATACCATACCGTAGAACTGAAAGGTCCAGAATATGTTACATATACTCCAGAATAGAACTGACATTATAGTGAACCCGGAGTTGGGCTCCAAATAAGCCATAACTGTGGCCCACAATAGGAAACCATTTGTGATCACAATTAATGGCCAAAACGCTTGTGTCATAAAGTATTTGGACAATAGGTTTGAATGCAATACAAGCCTTTTGCGATGCATTGGAGACAATGGTAGAGCCAATCGTTTGTGTTTAAAGTTGTAGAGGAACGGTATGATTGAAAACGTGAAGTTTTTCTCCTGGTATTGAACGGTAATACCGATGAATAGTATGACGAACGCACTGATGGACATCATCGAGGATATGGCGAAAGGGTTGCCGATATAATAGTTGGAGTCACTCATCAAAGCCCTCATGTATTGCTTGTTAACAATGGCTGAGACGGCAAACCTGATGCCCACCAGTAATAACACAAATCTGGCAAATATGACAATTAAATACCTGGAGGTTGACTGAGTCCGTTGCATATAATCATCAAAGTTGTTTGTAAAGACATAATTTCTGATCAAAAACCCCTCGACACGATTGACGGCAAGTGTTTCGTCGCTATATTTCATTAGGAAATCATTTTTTAGTTTTTCGCTATTTTTCTTAACGTTATTTTTATTCATTTTCAATAATTTTGAAATTTTATTTACTCTAGTTTATAATAGGTTGCAAATAAAATTTAAATTCAATAATATTATTTATCATATAATACGTGTGAACTATTGGATTATAATTTATAAACTGCACTTAAAATTATTGAAAATATTTTCATTTTGGTCGTTAAAATCAATATTTTATATCATAATTCATATAATCAATACTTATATCATTTATTTATGAAAATATTATAATACATTTTTATAAAACATTATAAAGCTCCGTTTATAATATAAAATTTTCTTTTTGTAAGTAGAAATTATAATCGATACACATTAATTCATATAACATTAGGTAATATCTATTTATATTAGTTTAATTTGATAATATTTCTTAATTGAAATAAATTATAATAAAAATAATAATAAATACAAAATTAAAATTAAGTATATCATATAGATAAATTCTAACTAATAATTTAATTAATTTGTTAGTAAATATATAATATAATATTATATTTTGCAGGTTTTACTAAAATTGTTCAAAAAATAATCTAAGTATTAACTATACACAAAATAATAAATTACTAACTATTAAATTAAAATTAAACATGATATTACAAATTATCTAATATGATATTACATTATCTAGCAAGGCAGTTCATATTTTAATAAATTAATAATAATAAATACTGCAATATTCAATTAATCAGTCTCAAATAAGGCAATTAATATTTGAGATAACTTAATACAGTATTATGAATAAAACTCGGAAATAAAATTTTGAAAAATAAAATGTATAAGCTTAAAGTTCAACAATTTTAGTTTGCTAAACAGTACAGTATAAGCAAATTATTAAAACTTATTTTTAATACAACAAAACTCTTACTAAAAATATATTTTTAACATAAATAAATAGCTAATAAATAGATCATTTAAAAATAAATAAGTTTGCAATTAAATTGTTATTAAATTATTTTTTAATAACTAATATTTAAATGAAAGTAATAATAATATACAGTGGAGTAATTTGTGTTATCATAATGTACTCAAAAATTGTTGACATTGTAATCATCTCATATTGTCTGTCAAATGGTACGATATTATTATCAACTAGTTGAATTTATCAAATTAAGTAATTTTGTATAAATATTTATGTCCAAATAAATAACAAGATATTATTAAACATTAACTGAAAAATACTTTAATTTACTAATAATTCACTCGACTAATAAAAATTTAATATATCATAATTGTTATGATAATTAACAAATAGTCTAATAATTTTTAAAACATGACTTTCCTAGTAGACCTATCGTGGTTTACATGGATTACCTTGTTATCCGCATTACCACTAATTTATTGGTATTTTATACTAAAATAAATCCGCATAAATAATTATCAAGATTCATTAAAACAGGCGCTTAACCCGAAACTTTGACTACTGGACCAAACGTGGCATAACTGGCCCCAAACCGTACCCATCAGTCGGCACTAATTTGTACCACTTTTTTACACCTATGACTACAGTCGACACGCAAAGGATCCGGATCTTCGGCAAAATCTATGGGTATTTAACTAACATTAATGCAAATCAATACTTAAAACAAACACTTTTTAAATTAAAAACAAAAAACTTTTTAAAACAACTATTTATGACATACTATACAATCAATACACGACAAACAGCTTATTCAACGGCAACGTACCGGTGCTGAGTGTGGCCGCACCCGAGCTCATCCAGAAAATACTCGTCAAAGACTTTCACCTATTCGTCGACCGCAAGACCCGTCCCTATGAGCACCCGGTGCTCACCAAAAATGTCTTCCACTCGCGGGCCGACCACTGGAAACGGTTGCGCACTATAGTCAGCCCCACCTTCACGTCCGGCAAAATGCGTAAAATGTATCCAATGGTGAGGGAGTGCATCGCGGAGTACCTACAGGTGCTCGACGGGTACGCCCGGCACGGGTCGGACGTCAACATTAAGGACATGCACTACAAACTGACGATGAATGTGATCGCCCGGTGCGCCTTCGCCACCAAAACTGACACTTATGGCGACCCCCACAACCCCTTCATACGGCACGTCAAGTCGATGACACACTTCCCGTTCCTCAAGCTGTTGCTGATGTATACCCTCCCGGTGCCCGTCAAGAAGGTGTTGGGCATTAAGTACGTCGGCAGCGAAGAGTCCAATGAGTTCTTCATGCGATTAACGCATCAAATCGTGACGCAGAGGAAGACGGATCCCGACGCTCACCGCAAGTACAGTGACTTCATTCAGCTGTTGGTGGACGCGGAGGTGGACAGGGATGCCGGCGATGACCAGTCCGACGACGAGGCCATGGATGCCGATGAGGCCCATCACGTCAATGAGGGTTAGACTCGTCGTTATGTTTGAATTAATTACACAATAATTATGTATTAATTCATATATCTGTCGGCAATACACAAACCCATCACATGAACTCTGCTCTACCATTGGCTGTTCAGTACTGGACAGTGATATTAAAGCAGAGTTCACGTACTGGTTCCGTGTATTTCCAACAGATATTTGAATTAAAAGTTATGAAAAACTATTTCAAAAACCGTAGGCAAAGAGGAACGGGAGGTCCAGAGGAAGCCACTGGCGACCAATATAGCCAACAAAAAGCTGACCACCGATGAGATCAAAGCCCAGGGATGGATATTCTTCATCGCGGGCTCCGAGACGGCCGCCACAACCCTGGCCTACAGTTCCTACGAGTTGGCCCTCAATCCGGACATTCAGGAGCGCCTGCGGGCGGAAGTGGACGGCGCTGTCGACGCGGACGGGGAGTTCCCCTATGAGAGACTCACAAAACTGCCCCTTTTGGACGCCGTGATCGCCGAGACCCTGCGCCTGTACCCACCGGTGCTCCGTATTGACCGCAAGTGTAGCCAAGACTACAAGTTAGGCGAGTCCGGGATCACCTTATTTAAAGGTCAGGACGTGGACATCCCGGTGTACGCCATACACCACTCGTCAGATTTTTACGAGAACCCGGAGCAGTTTAACCCGGATAGGTTTATGCCCCATAACCGGCATAAGTTGACGCCCTATACATACCTGCCCTTCGGGGCCGGCCCTCGCAATTGCGTGGGAATGCGGTTCGCGTTACTCGAGATTAAGCTGAGTTTAGTCCACATTATTAGGAGGTATCGGTTCGTGAGGTCGGCGCAAACACCCGTTCCCTTGGAGTTCAAGACAGTGGCCAATGTGTGCTCAGCCAAGAGGGTTGTGGTCGCCATTCATGAGAGATCATAGTCTCGACAATCAATCACTTTATCCATAGTTTTAGTGATTTTTTATAAGGTTTTCAGTAAAATAAATAAAACTTATATTTTCAATAGTTTTGAATGTCAAACAATTTATTTGAATAAACATTATAAAAATATCATTTAAATAATTGTAAACTTAATGTTAAAAGTGAAATATATTAAAACTTTTGAGGACTTGTATTCAAATATGAATTTTAAACTTTTTTTATCATAAATTTGTTTGCCATCATAAATAAGATTATAAATAAAATATAAACTTTTATAAATAACTTTTATGTCAATTATAACTTAA